TTTTGTTAGCTATCATGACCGAACCGCAACATACAGTCGATTTTGCACGTTAGGAGGCTGCTGTACGACGTGCACGAAGCTCGCGATGAGCACGTCTATAAATTCACTCTGAATGGAGTCGATTTACAACCAATATCAGCAAACAAAAGTTTGTTTATTGTTTATTTATTTAGACTATTACAATGTACACTATAGACAATGAAAGTAAACAATCAAAACCAAGATAAGTGATTAAGTGATCTGTAAAAACAAAACTTTTCTTTTTTTTATTAATGCAAAATGCGGATATAATTCCCTGGATAGGTTCCAACATATGACAAGCAGGTATAGAAAATAGATGGATGGTTTTCTGTAAATTACTGTCATGCCTGTTTTGAAATACTGTTATAACCAGGCTCTAGTAATATGTGATCCTTCAACTCAGTCTGGGACAGAACAGTCTATGACACCTAGCCATGACAGTGAAGTTCAGTGCAATTAATTATGACATTTTAATCACTACACTAAACATAATATCTTGACTCTTACAAGGTCATGTAACAAAAAATTATTGTCTGTTGTGCTAGAATTGCATGTTGCAGAATGGACCCATGTTTTTAGTTTACAGTTTCTGTCACATGAAACAGATTTATGTTATCTTATTTGCTTTTGAGGCATTTCTGGATAAGGATGTCCGCTACAGGTTGATATAAGAAAAATCATTATTGTCTCCTCCATTGGTCTTGCTGACTGCTCCTTCTACCTTACATGTGATAAGAGCTGCCAAGCTGATTCATCAACTGTAAGAAATGACTGACGTGGTCCTTAATCTTCTACCAGGCTTCAGTTTAAATTTTGTTAGACCACTACAATGTAATCTTCAAAGTCAGCCCCATTACCTGACTGTCTGGACACTTTAAAATCTTGAAGTCATAGCATGAATGGAAGTTGAGCTTCAACTATTAATTGCATTAGATAGTACTGCAGACTTTGATCCTGGACAAACTGTAATGCTACACTTCATTTAACATCATAAAACAGAGCCGAAAAAAGCAGTTTGGGAAAAACTACGTCCAACAGTTTTACATTCACATTTTATTTACTCAGTTGTTAATAACACTACGGTAGACTGTACATAATGCCAAACCACACATTCTACATAGAAAAAGTCAATGATAAAATCAAAGATCAGAAAAGAAAGCAGTGACATTAGATGAAGAAGAAACCTGTAATTTGTGTTTAGAGTTTGTTATATTATGCCAGATTACTTCTTGATGTATTCATTATACGAAAATCAAATCCAAACTTTCACACAAAGGGAAGGAGGAAAAGATGAAAACATCAAACTAGAGAAAAGTCTTAAACAGAAGGCATTCTCCTTGTATTACCCCTTATTGTTTTTCTCTTTTTCTTCGTTATTGCTAACAAATGACCATCAGAACTGGTCCCTGTCCTGCCCCTAAAGTATCTCAGTTCCCTGTTTGACCAGCAGGTGTCACTGGCCATCCCATTGTTCTTAGCCCATAGTGTGTTCTCCTGTTGTATAGATGTAGGGCGGATAATGTGGGTTGTTCTGGGAAGCGGTGCTTGACAAGACATACCACGTCAAGCTAAACACTTGTGTGTGTAGAGGGTTGGGTGCCCTCGTATACCATTTAGGGCTGCAGGTTAGGTAGTGGGCTGCAGAGTCAGGTTCCGGTGTGGGTTAGGGCGACAACAGTTAGGACCGGGGGGCTAGGAGTGCGATGGCCGCTTCTCAGCCAGGGGTTCGAAAAGCAGATGCGAAAAGCACAGTCCTCAAAGTGCTTGATCGGCGTTCTACTTTCCTTCCATCTCTGTTTTAAAAAAAGATGACCAGCACTAAAGCTTATACCCCAGGGGAGGGTCTCGAACCTCAGGAAAAGCTAAGTTTTTATTTTGTCCTTGTTTTGTTCGTTTTCTGTGTATTTTAAGATGGCAGCGTAGCCATCTAGTTGTCGGGATAGGATTAGTTGAAGGGACTGCACACGCTCTTTTGTAATTGTAACTGAGCTTCTGTAGTGGTCTACTTTTCCCTTATAGACTCTGACGCTATTCTAGGTTTATTACAATAGCTTCAACTCTTCTGGGAAGGCTGTCCACTAGGTTTAGGAGTATGTTTACGGGAATTATTGACCATTCTTCCAGGAGAACATTTGCGAGGTCAGGCACTGATGTTGGATGAGAACCCCTGTGTCCTGCCCCGATCGTCCTCTCCTTCCATGTGCTATGCCCCCCTCGTTAACCTTGTGTGGGAATCCCCATGTGATCAGATGTTTCTTGGTGCTTTCATTAGTTCAATGTATTTAGTCCGCGTTTCAGTTTGTTTCCCCAGTCTGGTCATTGTATTGTCAACCCGCGTTGCTGCCTATTCGTCTGTTTGTACTTTGATTAAACCCCGCATTTTCCCCGACTCCTGGCATCCTGAGCTTCTGTCTGCGCTCCAGGCGCCTTCCAGCATGACACTCTTATCCTCCCTTCACTGGCTTCCAGTTAAGTCTCGGATTGACTATAAAATACTGCTATTGACTTATAAAGCACTGAATGGCCTTGCACCAGAATACCTTAGTGATCTGCGCCTCATACAACCCTCTGCGCTTGCTTCGTTCTCAAGGCACAGGATTTCTGTTAGTACAGGTACAGTAGAAAGAGCTACGGCAGGCTGCAGAGCTTTCTCCTATAGAGCTCCTCAGCTGTGGAATGGTCTTCCACTGGATGTGTGGGATTCAGGCTCACTCTCAATATTCAAGTCTAAACTAAAAACACACTTATTCAGTCTAGCCTATAGGGACTCTAGTCCTAGCTTTAGCTAATTGTTCACCCCCAGTTAGATCTGTAATGTGAGGGTAGAGCTGGGTGGGGATCGGTGCCATTGGCTTTGGAGAAACTGAGCTGTCAGTGCTGTCACTCTAGCTTCACACCTCCTTGTGTAATTGGAGTGCTGACATTTCAGGGACTCCCCATGCCTGCATTCCCACTTGCCTCTCCCTCCTACGTTTGCTGCCATAGCCATATCTGCTGGAGCTTATACATTGCACTTACTGTATATATTGCACTCACCTAACTGTTAGCACTGCCTGTTGTCTCCCCTACTTTGACTAATTGCATATTTTTCCCCCTACCCCTCCTGGGGTATGCAGCCTGGAGACCCCAAATTATCAAGATATCCTGCACACCCTGCTACATGCGACGTCTCCACTACGCATGACTTCCTTCTGTCCAGCTCACCCTTCTGCCTGTCATCCACCATGTATGCCCAGCTGTCTTACTACTGGTTGCCCGGCGATCTGAAGGAGTGCCAACACCAGCTTGTCATCACCTCACTGCTCCCCGGTTATGACTCATACTTTATGACTTAGACTGTGTGACCTGCCACTTAGCCATCTCTCCGATTTGACTTTCCTTGCTGACACCTGGAGGATGGGCTCCCCCTTTAAGTCTGGTCCCTCCCAAGGTTTCTTCTTTCTAGGGAGTTTTTCCTTGCCACTGTCACCTCTGGCTTATTCACTGGAGGCTTTGGGCAGTGATGCTGTAAAGCACTTTGAGACAATGTAATGTTGTGAAAATGTGTTATACAAAAATAAATTTGTTTGTTTGTTGTTTGAGCTAATCTGGGGCCTATACTACGAAGCGGGGTTACTAGCTTATCGGGGTAACTTGTCGGATTTAAGGTAGTCTGGGCAAAATGTAAGTAAATGAATATGAAGTCCATGTAAACTGTGGTACCTTAAATCCAACATGTTACCCCGATAAGCCAGTAACCCCGCTTCGTAGTACAGGCCACTGAAGGCCACATGAAGTTTGGAGGTGTTATGACTGTGGGCGGTCAAGCAGGTGATAGAGCCGTGCATACGAGTGAACAGGATTTATTCTGGGTAACAAGGCAGACGGGAGCTCACAGCAAACAACGTCAATGACAGATCTGGGGAATACTGACTCAGACGCAGACTAAATACACAGGACAGGCTGAACATAACAGGCAACAGGTGAATACAATCGGGAATTAACACGAGGTAACGAGGGGGGCGTGGCACACAGGAGGATCGGACGAGCTGGGCGTGACAGGAGTTCTGTCGCTATTCATTCTGCAGACAGTTGATGACTTCTGCATACTGTGCACCTCAGCATGCGTTGTCCCTGCTCTGTGAGTTTACGTGGCCTACCACTTCATGGCTGAGTTGCTGTTGTTCCCAATTGCTTCCACTTTATTATAATACCACTAAGAGTTGACCGTGGAATATTTACTAGCGAGTAAATTTCACGAATGGCCTTATTGCACAGGTGCTATCACAGCACCATGCTTGAATATGCTGAGCTCCTGAGAGTGACCCATTCTTTCGCAAATTTTTGAAGAAGCAGTCTGCATGCCTATAGGGGCTTGATTTTATACACCTGGCTAGGGAAGTGATTGGAATATCTGAATTCAATGATTTGGTGGGGCGTCCCAATACTTTTGGCAATATAGTGTATCTGACTGCAAGTACTCTTCGAACACAGCTCATGCAGACTGATTGCTAGAGGCATGTGTTTCACTCTACCTGAAGGACACAGAGGCAACTGGATAGCATTGTAAGCTTCTTATATGTCCAACACTGACTAAATGGCTTTGCAGACTGTTCATCTCTTATTGAGTGCTGTGTGAGCAACTATCCATTCCTTAAATTTAAAATGCTGTGCTATATGTGGCTGGCGACTAAGGTACTTTGTTTATGGATGCTTTAAAAGGCCAGCCACTGTTTACTGTTCATGTTCATTTTTGGGAAGAAAAGGGGATCTGTTAATATTGGGGGGATGTATCTTCCCCACCCCCCATATCCAACACCCCTGCCTCCCACAATATCATGCTATGTGTGCTCAGGTCGCTTCAGGCACAGAGGCAGACATAGATCCTAGATGGACATGCATCTCCTTCCAAACATGCTGAACAACAGGATGGTCTGGTTTTTCCAGAATGTTAAGCAAGACGGATGTAGGAAGAATCAGAAGTAAAAATGTGACTTTGGCTTCAGTTTGGCATTGAGGATAAAGGAGGCTGAGAAAATGTCTTTCAGACACAGGGTAATAACTGCTAATGTCTCATCTCTGGACATGGAGCTCCGCTTTTCCAAGAGTGAATCTTCCTGCAGTCTCCATGGAAAGAAGCTTCTATTCTTCTGTGAGCACGACCAGGAGCTCCTCTGTGCTCTTTGTCAGACTTCAACAAAACATAGAAATCACCAGCTCTGTCCTCTTCAAGAAGCTGTTCAAGATAAGAAGGTATTCTTTTCTATATCATTCATTTTTTCCGAAGGATGGTATTTAAATTTTAGTAGTGGCTGTGAAGTGATGTGAGCTGACTCATCATGAAACACTAGCATTTATAAAACAGGTCTATTTATTATAATCTTATGTTTTATGTTTCACAGTGGACGTTAGCCATGTATTCATATATTTTCATTGTAAAACAAATGAGCTTTCAAAATCTCAAAGTGTAATCAGTTATGTATATTTTATTGCTCCTGTATATTCACACTAACTAATGAAGTTGCCTATAATGTGAGTGTGCCCAGTGATACACTGACGCCCCTTCATGGGTGTCCCCTGCCCAGTGCTCTGTACTTCCTGGGTGTCCTCTGCCCAGTGCCCTGTACCTCCTGGGTGTCCCCTGACCAGTGCCCTGTACCTCCTGGGTGTCCCCTGCCCAGTGCCCTGTATCTCCTGGGTGTCCATGCCTAGTGCCCTGTACTTCCTGGGTGTCCCCTGCCCAGTGCCCTGTACCTCCTGGGTGTCCCCTGACCAGTGCCCTGTACTTCCTGGGTGTCCATACCCAGTGCCCTGTACCTCCTGGGTGTCCCCTGCCCAGTGCCCTGTACTTCCTGGGTGTCCCCTGCCCAGTGCCCAGTACATCCTGGGCTCAGGTCCAGGTTCACCAAGGCCCCACAATGGATAAATGGAAAATAAATGGTTATGGGAGCTGGATGACTGGTATTTAGTTTTAATTCAGAACAAAAATATAAAAGAAGCAAGTTATGTGTTACATATCAACCATATCTTGAACGTATCTCTCATTATATGTCAGTATATTTTATCTCAGGAGGATCTCAGAGCTTCACTGATTCCATTAAAGGAAAAGCTGGAGAAGTTTACAAAAGTTAAACAAGAGTTTGAGAAAACAGCCAAACATATCAAGGTATGAAGATTTATTCTGAAAGAGTAAAACTTCACTGTGAAAATTACCGCAAGATTACTGAGCATGTCTCACTTTCAGAGTCAGTCCCAACAAACTAAGAAGAGGATAAAGGAGGAATTTGAGGAACTCCATCAGTTCTTGAGAGAGGAAGAGGGGGCCAGATTGGCTGTACTGAGAGAGGAAGAGGTGCAGAAGTGTGAGCAGATGAAGCAGAAGATTGAACACATCTCCAAACGTGTCTCCACTCTGTCAGAGAAGATCAGATATATTGAGAAGGTCATGAATGCTGAGGACATCTCCTTCTTGAAGGTAGGTGGTGATTTATCTGCACTGTTCTGTCCCTCTGCTGCCTGGGATACAGTCCTGTTGTATGTCTAAAAAAGGAATTCAAACATTTCAATGACACTGACCATGTTTGACCAGAAATTTCAGTCACTATGGATTAGTACATACAACTACACCCAGACCATGCTGAACACACAACCTGTATAAATTATAATTTTTTACCAGCAGACACTTTTATTTTAAATTATAAGATTTTGGAGTGTGTCTGTGTTGCCCATTCATCCAGAGGAGCATTTGGGAGGTGAGGCACTGATGTTGGACATGAAGGCCTGGCTCGCAATCTCCATTCTAGTTTAACCCAATGGTGTTCAATGGCAGGGACGGATTACGGACCAGGCCAGCGGGGCCGCTGCCCAGGGGCCCTTGGGGTGCAGGGGGCCCATGGGGCCCCTAGCCCAAAACAATTTGCAACGCTTATCAACAATGTATTTTCGTTTGTCTATTTTAGAGGGCCTACATTCTTTGATCCTCTGCCTACAAGGGCCCCTGATCCTATAGGGCCTCTGATGGAAACATGGAGGGAGGGCGTTTGGCTGCCAAGGGTCCTTGAATTGTGCTTTCAGGGGCCCCCCGGCCCTGCTATAGGAACTTTAAAGGGAAATGGGTGCATGGGAGCCCACTTTTAGAAGGCCCTCTTATTATGGTCCTGGCTTCTAGCTACCAGGGGGTCCTAGGGAGGATGGGGGCTTTGGGGGCTTTTAGAGGGCCCTCTGATTATGAGGGCCCTACTAGGAGGCCCTAGCTACGAGGATGTAATTGTCTTCTTTGGGAAAGCTGCAAAGCAACA